CTTCCAGGAATTCCAGTTTGACTAGACAACTAGGAGACACAGAGAAAAGCATGGAGGAGCAACATAAGATGGAGTAGAACATGAACGGATTTACCTTCCAGGCTAAGTAGACACTTTAGTTATGTATAACAGCTGGATACTGGAGACACACCGATGGACATATAAGGAGGACATGCTCAGACACCACAACTGCTTTTAAGTCTTTACTCAATGGGTATCTTCATCTTCTTAAATTTTTTTTTCTTATATATCATGAAACAGTGCTTTGCAGTGGATACCAAAAAGGGTACCACTTATGCATGGAAGTAATATATGATCAATATTCTCCAATCTTGGTAGTTCTACTATGCTTCATTAGTGTGACACAATTTAGCCAAAGACAGGAGTCACAGTTTTTCATCAGTGAGACAGAAGGAAGCCTATTTTATTAATTCTTGAACGAGTTCCTCATTTTGAAAAGGGGGTATCAATTATAGAGATTCTTTCTTCCATGACCGAACAATGTGTAAAATATGCTACTTTGAACAACTTCAGCATGCTAAGGAGGGCAGGGTGAAATATGTAAAGGACTAAGAGACTTGGTGTGGTTGGGCTAGGAACACAGCTCAATGGTGAAGCATTTGTATTGCCTGTGCAAGGCCCTGGGTTTCATCTCCAGTGCTGCAAAGGTAGCAAAAACAAATAAGCACAAGGAAGCTCTCTCTAAGCCCCTATGCTGGGTTTCTTTGTAAAAATTCCCTTACTGCCCTCTGACTTGGATCTTCTGTTTTATTTTCAAGAAAAAACTCCCCAATAGTTAGGTAGATTTCCAATGGAGTGAGCAGATTAGGGGCCTGGGAATTTGGAATACAGGTCACTATGGTCAAGGATGCCTGGAAATGAGTGAGTTCTATGAGTGAGACAGTGTCTATGTTGAGAGAAGGAGCTGAGGAAGAGGCGCTTTAGGAACTAGGAACAATTCATAGTGAACAATGTTCATACTATGTGTTGGCATGGTCTGGATTGTGTGGGAGGTTCGGAACTGTGATATCAGTGTGTAAGGGAGGTGACAGATGAGGAAAAACACATGCTTGAGACTCCCAAATCTCTATGTACCTTTACAGATGTGCTGGCCAAGGCTCACTAACTAGACTGTAGTGTTCAAGGGCATAGATCTTGTCTATACTCATCTCTGACTCCCTGGTGTCAAACAGCACATGACTAGTCAGGATGAAGAGTGACAAATGGGCAAACTTCAGAAAGAAAAACCATATATTTCAATACACAGTTAGAAGCTGTGAAGAAGAACACACATTCAAGGCCTGTAATTCTATCCAGAACACTACATTAAGGAAACACAATAGAAAAAGGTTGCATCTTAGATCCTGTACCAGAAGAAGAAACTTACTGAGAGATATGGAGTAAGAGGAGACGCATTCTCTGAGGCCACACCGAGAAGGCATCTAATTTTTCAACAGTGTGCGTGTTTCTGTTTTTAAAGGCATTTTAAAAGAATCGACAACAACAACAACAAAAAGTCTTGTCACGTTACCCAAAGCAACCACTCAATTTCCAAAGTCTATCTGGAACTAAAAGAGACCGATTTAGAGGTTATTGTATGTAATATCAGACTTTGCTGAAAGTGAGGAAAGAGTGGCGTTGTTAGAGGAGGCAGGAGACTGGCTGGGGGTTGAGATCTCTCTCAGGAAAGAGCTTGAGTGGAAAAGTGTACCCAGGACACTCTTTTTCTACCTAAAACCTCTTTTGTTGCTATCTTATTGTCAGTTGGATTATTATCCATTAAAGATTTCAACCTGCTCAGCAAAGGACTTTCTCCTCTTGCAAAGATGTCATTTTCACAAACTGACCTATTTTTCTTCAACAATTAGTGCAAATCATGTTTAATTTTAATTAAATCTTTGTTCTCAATACCTATTTTATCTATTGAGCATACATGAGAGAGAGGCTCAGTCATCAAGTTGCCACATCAGTTTATGGATATTTAACAGGTGTAGAGCATAGTAAGGGGCCAATATTGGCTCAATAGAAAAAACAAGAGAAAAAGAACAAAGTAGAGCTTGAACACAATGTAATGCAAAGCATCATTTAAATAGTTTTTGAATCCTATTATTAGGGTAGGTGGTTATCAGGTGCCAGGGAAGTAGAAATACATACTACACATGAAATAGACACAACATAGACTTCCATTTTCTTTCAGATCAATTATGACAGCTGTCTTTTGCTGAAGTTCTGGAACTTCTCACTCTGCCAAGTGTCACTGCATGAGCAGTCCCACTGTTTCTTCCAGGAACAACACAACATGGAAACAATAAAAGGTAGCTTTTAAAAAAGGTAGTTTAGGACTGGAAGGTGACTCAGTGGATAAGGTGATTCAGTAGTGACTCACCCACTGCTAAGTCTAATGACCTGAGTTCAGTCTCTGGTCCTTACATGATGGAAGGAGAGAACTATTTCCTATCAAGTTGTCTTCTAATCTTCAGATGTGTGCTTTGGTAAATTCACACACACACACACACACACACACACACACACACACACGTATATATTTATACATGCACAAAAGTATACCATGTATCATGCACACATGTACACAAGTGTACCATGTATCATGCACACATGTACACATGTACATGAATACATGCACACACATTCACACACACACACACACAAGTAACAATACTTGTTTTAAAGATAACTTCATGGTAGCAAGGACAGATATCAACACTGTACTTCTTTCTCATAATACTGTAAAGGAAAGAGCAAAGAATCCAGGGAAACATTTATAGTCACCCAAAATGAATCACTGACTATATAGAAAACCTGCTGACCTGAAGGAGAGAGGAGGATAACAAGGAATGTGAGGAGAAATAAGCAGTTATTTACAATAACAAACTCCTTTCTCCCAGTAATAAATTATTCCAAGCAGTGATGGGCTGAAATCCTTTGCATAAACAAAATATGAATAAGGTAAACATTTTAGACACTGCCCGAGTCTGGGAATACCATCTCAGCATTCCAGACTCCTCTATGCTACTACATGGTGTGAAGAAAAAGGCCACCAGCTTTGATAACAAAACGGCCTGATCTCAGGGTGACTTTGGCTTCTGCAAGCCGTTTAATCTCTCTGAGTCTATTTCCCCATCTTTAAAATAAGGGTAATTGTACCAGCTTCCAAAGGAGGGTCTCAGATTAAAGACAGTGTTTTAAAAGAAGCTTGACTGGGTGCCTCATGAATGGTGGAAGCCCAATAAAGTGTAGTTTACTAATTCTGTAACCAAAATGGGCTCAAATTTCTCATTCCACTCTGTTATGTGAGAAAAATAGCCTGACTTTGCTGAGGCCAAGAGGGATGGTACCTCACTGCATTATACAAAGGTAATTAATCCACCTGCTCATTTCATATAGATCAATTTCTCTGGAACAAACATGTGAAGGAATAAGGTGAGGAACTCTTATGATCAAACATAGCAAAACAAAGTGGTGGTGATGGGTGTTGGCATTTTTTTTTTGTCTCAATTGTGCTGTAGATTCTAGTTCCTCCTGTGACCCCTTTGGCCACTCCTGGCCACTCTCCAGTCTGATTTACTCTGATCCACTAGCATTTTCCTCACAGTAGCTGAGTTGGTGGTTTTCAGTTAAAGGCTCACTGAGAAAATGGAAAGGTCTATCAACTGATTCTCTACCCCTAGCACAGCTTTCTTCCCTGTGCTTAGACAGCCACAGATCATATGTGTAATGTTCAGAAATGTCCAGGCATTATGCACCATTTAAAATGGAAATATGGATTTTATGTTTTTGTTTACATATGCATAGCACAAATGGACAGAATTTGAGTCTTCCATTACAATAAAGGAAAGGCCTTCTAATTTTTAGCTATTGATACTGGTTTAAATATCCAAACCTAAAATATGCCATTAAAACTCACAATATCTCAAGATGAGTTCTCTTTAAAATTTGAATCTGTACAGCTGTTGTTGAAATCTCCTTTTAGAGCGAAAAGCAAGGTGGCAGAGGTAAACCCAGAGAGCCTATTTTTGAACCTATGACACGTGAGAGTCAGTAACGTTAAGGAGCTCAAAGGCTAGGCTTATGTAACACACAAATGCAGAACAATTTGCAGATGGACATGTGGGTAGTCCTTTTGACTATGGCTGTAATGATATTGGATGCACGATGTATCCATAAAGAAACTGATAACTTTTTGATGATGGGTCTTGGGCAAATTTGTGAAGCAGCAAAAATTTATGTTTTTGAATTCTTCTCCTATAAACTCTCAGGTATATTCGCACTTTGTAATTTCATCCCTGTCCCCAGGTACTTAACACTTCTCTTCGGGAGATTCACAACACAAGTCACCAATCAGGGCAAGTCAGTCTATGACCAATTTCTGTTATTTGTGTGGAAGTCTTGCATGTGCCACAGTGTTCATGTTGAAGTCAGAGCACAACTTATGATAGTAACCAACCTTCCACCAAATGAGTCCTGAGGATTAAACTCATGTACTAAGTCTTGATGGTAGGTGACTTTTTCCCCTGAACCATCTTGTCAGCCCTGTGTTCAACCTTTTAACAGAAGTGTCAAGGACAAACACAATCATAAGAAAGAATCCCGCCTTCAAAGAATGAATCTCTCATTGTAAAAGTTCAGGCATATACTGCTTGGCTATAGATATAGCAATATTAGAGTAAGTGAAGGTTCCGTAGTAGAAGGCTAGAATAGAAAGGTATTGGTAGCAGTGACTGTGTTTTTTATTTCTCAAAATTTGGTTGTGAGATCATCAAACATCTATCTTTAAAAAGAAATCAAAATCAAAGAGTAAAGAGCAGAGGGTAAGCAAATGCAAAGTAAGCGCCATTATCCAAATCGTGAAAATCATGAGAGTACACCTTGGTGATTCCATGCCAGTGGTTACTGCCAGTAGCCACCGTGACATTTAAATACAGATTTTATTTTGAATTGGCGAGACACACAGGAGTACCACCTTCATTTTTTTGTCTTACCAGGCACTCCAGCTTGGATCCAGAAGTTAATATCAGTTCCTTCTCCGCCACTAAAGACCTTGGTGACATTGAGGGGCTGCAGCAGATTCATGACCTCCTTCATGATAGCCCTGGCCTTGTCACTGCCGGTGAACTGTAGCCCAGAGGGTAAGAAGGTCCCTGAGTCAGACTCCATCACCAGACTGTACTTGGAAACATTTGCCTAAATAAAATTTAAAAAGAGATAAATGTTCAATTCCCGTCTGCTGCTTCTCTGCTATCAAATAATTCACCTTCCCACAGGTTGTTGTCAAATAATATTGCTCTGCTCTGATCAATATCTACTCTGTGTATTTTCTGATGGTTCTGAGATGTATAATTTCCTATCCTGAGGTCTGCCAAACCCAAGAGTTGACTTAGATAGTTACAGAAAATATAATAGAGGGAATAAAACTGCACGGTTATTCTTACTAGCAATAATAGCTTTGAATCACTCTCCTTAAGGCACTACTCTAGTAGCAGAATGTGCTATGTTCTCTGCAGGAGGAGAAAAGTAATCATCCCTCTTACCTGACTATGTTCCCTATGAGCTAAATAATAGCTGCTCCAGTAAGAGAGGCCCACTGGTGCAACAGCGGCACAATGCCATGAGAGCAATGGCCTCTTTCTGGTTTAAGTCCTTCTTCACAAGATGAAGCCTATGCTTAGTGCCATTATCAAGCCCAAATCCTTCACTAGACAAGTCGTAGCTACTAGGTGAGAAACTGGTACTATCATTTTGCTAAACAGACATAGTATTAGACTAAATTTTTTAAAAATATTTTATGTGCATTGGTGTTTTGCCTTGCATGTATGTCTATGTGAGAGTGTCAGGTTTCCTCAAACTGGAGTTGCAGATAGTTGTGAGCTGCTGTGAATTCCAGGTCCTCTGGAAGAGCTGCCAGTGCTCTTAAGCACTGAACCATCATTCCAGCCCCTTAGACTAAAATTTTTAATTTTATTTTTTTTCACAATTTATTATATATCCCAATTGAAGCCCCCTCCGTCACCTCCTCCCAGTCCCACCTTCCCGTTTTCTTCCTCCCCCATCCCTTTCTCCTAGTCCACTGAGGGAGAATTCTCCTCCTCTGCCATCTGCCCATAGCTTATCAAGTCTCATCAGAACTGCCTGGATCCCTCTTCCTCTGTGGCCACATCACCAGAGGCAAGTGATCAAAGAGCAGGCAATTGAGTTTATGACAGAAGCAACACCTGCTTCCCTTGGGAATCCACATGGAAACTGAGCTGCCAATTGGCTAAATCTAAGCATGGGGTCTAGGTCCTCTCCACACAATATTTTTTTTGTAATAGCTAGACTAACTTTTAATGACTTATTGTTATACCCATAGATTAATATATCTTTTACCTCTCAACAGAGAAGCTTCTATTTGCACTAGACAGTGACTAATCAGAGCAATAACAGCCAGGGGCAGAAAATAAAAAAAAAAAATTTGCAGGATTCTCAGTCCTAAATCAAATCCTCATCCTTCCAAAATTCAGGGGTAATTACCAAAGAAGAGGCAGAAAAACTATAAAATATAGAGCTAGTGGGTGACAGCAAGGAAACAGTGTCCTTTGGCTACAGCATGGCAGTAGTACATATGAACACACAGCAGTTGTGACAGCATGCATAAGACCTGTGCAAGCCCAAATCAGACAAAAGCTCAGCATCTATAAGAGATTGGGCACCAAATTCTACCCCTAGCCTTGAAGTGGTTGGCAATCTTCAGCTGCTGGAAGAAAAACATTCAGTTTTCTGTGATGGTACAGCCCCTGGTAAGTTGCCCATGCTCCAGTGGAAGGCTACACATTCAAGGATATATGGGCAGCACAAAATGCTCTTGATGGAGAAAACAAAAGACAAGTTGTGAGCAATGGAACTGAGAAGAGTTGGGGGATAGGTGAATATGATCAAATACACTGCACAAAATTCTCAACTAAGTAATAAAAAATTTAAAATAAGGTTAATAAAGCAAGATTCTACTCATAGTTGTGTCTTCACCTAATTTTCAGGGAAAGTTGCAAGGTACTTATAATAAATGCAGCTATCTTTGCTCTCAGCTATAGCTACTGCCTTATGGTACCATCATTTGAAATACTAATATGCAGCCATTAGTATTTCTTATTTGTGCATTTATTTATTATTTAATTTATTATTTATTTAGTATTTACATTTATGCCCTATGTTAAGGGATCATCTAATTGTATATTGGTACAAGGTCAGCAGATGGAGATGTAATTTGGTAGTCTTAATCTTTTTCTCTGTTCTACCTCTACCCCAAACACTTCAAAAAAGAGAAAAGCAAAACTATAATATATCTTGTAAATGAAAACAGAATTGCCCAAATTGCAGGCAGATCCTATGTTTCCAACAAGAATGGCAGGTGAAGTGCTCTTAGCTGTGCACTGCTTAGGTTAAAAGTGGAACTGGTTGGCATTTTAGTGGTCTCACCTGACATTAAAAAGACACCTGGTGAGGTGGATGTGACCTTGGAATCATTATATTTTATCCCTGTACAACAACTATCACTCCTGACTGCCAAGCAGAATGACTACCTCCTCGATCTTCCCTTTCCTCTCTGTAGGACATGTTTATAGCCTCTTTTAAACCGAAGTAAGACAGGTTGCATGAAAACTACCTATGGCTTCTAACACATCTGTTAAGTGTTTTCTGCTTCTTGAATTGCAAAAGAAGGGAAAATCCCAGAGACAGTAACTTTGAAATTTGGAATTCCAGTGTGCAATGAAATTGTATATTGACTGGCACTCAAAATATGATGTAAATATCATATAAGACATGAGTTTCCAGTGGTTCCACAAGTTGTGAGCAGAAGTGATGAAGAGCTTAGGAATTATACAGCTGAACTAGATCCCTGCTTAGCAATCTTTAGCTGAGTGCCTTTGGCATTTGATGTAAACTCTTAGTTTACTCTTTAATGAAATGGGGATGATAGCCATTCCCAGCTTATAGAGTTTGGAGACACTGTAGTTAGGGCTCAGACACAAGAAACATTTGATAAACAGCAGCATCACTGGTTTTACTTTTTTTTTTTTTCTCTCTTTTTAGCACTGAGAATCTCAGATTTTCAAGGATAGTGCCGGGATAAAGCATCCTGTTTGCTGATTATAATGACAGGCAGTGGTTCTGCAGCACTTTCCCAAGCCGGGCATTGTGTGAAATGCTTTAGAGCTCATCCCATGGGCTGCTAAGATAAGCTAGCGTAGCTTTTATAAAAGTGCATACAATCTGTTCAGGAAGTTGTCTCCTGTGCCAATGAGTTCTAGGCTGTTTCCCACTTTTTTTTCCAACTGATTTAGAGTATCTGGTTTTATGTTGAGGTCCTTGATCCACTTGGACTTTAGTTTTGTGCAGGGTGATAAATATGGATCTATTTTCATTTTTCTGCATATAGACATCCAGTTGGACCAGCACCATTTGTTGAAGATGCTGTCTTTTTTCCATTGAATGGATTTGGCTTCTTTGTCAAATATTGAGTATTCAAAGGTGTATGGGTTTATTTCTGGGTCTTCTATGCGATTCCATTGATCCTCCTTTCTGTTTCTATGCCAATACCATGCAGTTTTTATTACTGTTGCCCTGTAGTACAGCTTGAGATCGGGAATGGAGATACCTCCAGATGATCTGTTGTTGTACAGGATTGTTTTGGAGATTCTGGGTGTTTTGTTTCTCCATATGAAGCTGAGAATCTTTTTTTCAAGGTCTGTAAAGAATTGAGTTGGTATTTTGATGGGAATTGCATTGAATCTGTAGATTGCTTATGGCAGGATGGCCATTTTCACAATGTTAATCCTACCAATCCATGAGCACGGGAGATCTTTCCATCTTCTGAGATCTTCTTCAATTTCTTTCTTCAAAGACTTGAAGTTTTTCTCAAACAGGTCTTTCACTTGCTTGGTTAGAGTCACACCAAGGTACTTTATGTTTTTAGTGGCTATTGTGAAGGGTGTTGTTTCCCTAATTTCTTTCTCAGCCTTTTTGTCTTTGGTATACAAGAGGGCTTCTGATTTTTTTGAGTTGATTTTGTATCCTGCCACTTTGCTGAAGGTGTTAATCAGCTGAAGAAGTTCTCTGGTTGAATCTTTGGGGTCACTCATGTATACTATCATATCATCTGCAAATAGTGACACTTTGACCTCTTCCTTTCTGATTTGTATCCCCTTGATCTCCTTTAGTTGTCTTATTGCTCTGGCTAGGACTTCAAGTACAATGTTAAAGAGATATGGAGAGAGTGGGCAGCCTTGTCTTGTCCCTGATTTCAACAGCACAGGCTCTAAGAGCAACAATCAATAAATGGGACCTCATGAAACTGAAAAGCTTCTGTAAAGCAAAAGACACTGTCATCAAAACAAATAGACAGCCTACAGATTGGGAAAGAATCTTCACCAACCCTTTATCTGACAGAGGGCTAATATCCAGTATATATAAATAACTAAAGAAGCAGAAAAGCAACAAACCAAGTAATCCACTTAAAAAATGGGGAACAGAGCTAAACAGAGAATTCTCGAAAGAGGAACATCGAATGGCAGAGAAACACTTAAAGAAATGCTCAACCTCATTAGCCATCAGGGAAATGCAAATCAAAACGACCCTGAGATTTCACCTTACACCCATCAGAATGGCCAAGATGAAAAGCTCAAGTGATAGCACATGCTGGAGAGGTTGTGGAGAAAAGGGAACCCTCCTCCATTGCTGGTGGGAATGTAAACTGGTTCAACCACTTTGGAAGTCAATCTGGCGCTTTCTCAGACAACTAGGAGTAGTGCTACCTCAAGACCCAGCTATACCACTCCTAGGTATATACCCAAAATTTGCTCAAGTACACAACAAGGACATTTGTTCAACCATGTTCGTAGCAGCTTTATTTGTAATAGCCAGAACTTGGAAACAACCCAGATGTCCATCAACGGAGGAATGGATGCAGAAATTGTGGTATTTTTACACAATGGAATACTACTCAGCAATCAAAAAGGAGGAAATCATGAAATTTGCAGGCAAGTGGTGGGATGTAGAAAAGATCATTCTGAGTGAAGTATCCCAGAAGGAGAAAGACAAACTTGGTATATACTCGCTTATATAGACCTACAAGATATGATAAACATAATGAAATCTACACACCTAAAGAAGATAATCAAGAAAGTGGACACAGGCGAAGGTGATTAATC